TAATAATAATAATAATAATAATCCCATGCCTTAATTACCATGTCCTTAGCCACTTTTGAGATAGGTAGGAATTATATTTGCACCAGCCCCTTGTGGGTTTTTAAACTACATTATTAGAAAGAACCTGAAGTTCTCAGTTTTCTCGTTGAATACGTTTGGTTCTAAGGCTTGCAGGAAAATGCAATGGTCAAACAAGGGGATAATGTGAGATTTGCCTGTGAAAAAATTCCAGTATAATGTGAAATGTTATTACAGAAGAGGGCACTGAGCAAAGCAAAAGGACTTTTAAAGGGGTTTTTAAGCTGGAAAAAAGACTGTGGAACTATAAGCAAGATTTACCTATGTGATACGGTCCACAGCCTAACACCATCATTCCGCGGTCATCAAATTTTACATCATGCTCCTAAAATAGAACACAGTAAGAGAAGTCATTGGGAATTATTCTCAACAGCATGCTCCATGCTCATGAGAATAAAGGCTCCATGTCTCATAGGTCTTTCTCCAAAAAATAAGATTTGGAGCTTCAGATTGACTTCACCAGTCTTATTTTAATGTCACTGAATTAAGCAAGTTTCTTGGGAAACTTATTTCTACCTTAATTACCTTACCATTTCAGAGATGTCATGTGAAAATACATTCTGTGTCTTGCTGAAAGGGGCTAGTATAATACAGGAGGGAATATAACAGGTCGCTTCCTAATCTTACCAATCATTAGTGTTGACTTACAAAACGTTATAGCCATAATAATGTGGTTTTAATTAAAGGGCACAGTCTGAGATGTCACAGGTTGCAAATGCAGATCAGTGGGGTCATAATGCATTTATTCCCTTGCTACCAGGTTTGGTTCAATAAAACGAGCTACGTCTAAATAATTCCACGCCTGAAGACATGTTCAACAGACTCAGAGTAACATTTACACAAAAAAAAGTGTAGAAGGGGGTCCAATTTAAGGAGAAAAGGGTGCAGGAAATCTTCACACCTCCTTGTTTATTCAGATGCTCCCCAAGCACGGTGACTGAGTCAGACTCATGTCAGAGATGAACTGAGTAGGAAAAAATGGTGTCAGGGTTTGGAATATTAGGAAGCCAAGTTTTGAAATGGCAGAAGATTGTGTACTCTTTTGCTTGTGTTCTCTTTTCTATCCTTGAACTGGAGGAGGGGTGTATTCCTGCACTTTCTTGACTGTGGCACAATAAGGAGTAAACATATACACCTGTCCCCCTTCCATTTTATGTCAGGGACTGTACCCCTCCCTATCTTTCCTGTTTCTCTCTTTCAGTAACAGGCAGCTCATTCATAAAACTAGTAGGATTGGAGTTGTGAAAGGTTTAACAAGCTGCCTGATTAGACTCTCTGTGTAGGTCAGTTATGCTTCTATCTATGTATAAACCTCTGAAGCTGCCCCATGAAGACTCAAGGCCTCATGTGCAACCCCATGCAGGTCTACTTGGAAAAGGGCATCATTTTGTTCAACAGGATTTACTTTCAGGCAAATGTGTATAGGACGGAAGCCTTAATAGCCTATCTAGCTCAGACTTGCCTGTTTTGACCCTTTAGAGCTCTTTAAAAAAAGAGGCTTCCCAAGATCCTTTAACAAGAAATGTTGGGGATTGCACTAAGGCCTTGTAACCCCAATACTTGTGCTCTGCCTCAGACTATATGTGCCTCTGTCCTTGATAGTTTCTTTTAACATCATGCTTGCTGAAGAAAACATCAAACATTGTAGATCAAATGTACAGGTCTTTGTCTCAAGTTAGATGCTTCCCACAATGCAGGAATTTTGCAGAAGAGTTGGTTTTGCCACACCTGTTTTAGAATATTCCCACCACCTTGAACTAATCTAGTAGTAAATTCATCCACCACCACCCGTACAAGGTCATATGTGGGTTTCATAGCTATCTCAGCAAAGGGTGATCCTTATTTATTCCTGAAACTTTCATACCTCAAAGATCCAGTTCACCAACAATTCATTTTCTTTTCTTCAACACTTGTAAAAGTACAAATCCCAGAGATTTGGCATTATGCCTCTTTGGCCTTGTTGGTTAATGATATGTCTCAATGGGATGTCAACAGGAAAGCTCCACAATTTCACCAGTGGGATGGTGTGCATGTTCAAAAGGTCAACCCCATCCCCTAAGCCAATAATTGGTGTGAATTGGGGTGGGACAGAACTTCTCGCTGTGCTCACAGTGTAGTGCATGACATATAGTGGATTTGGTGCTGAGGGGTTAATTTTCATAAGGGGAAACGAAAAGGTTCTCACACCATGAAATGGCAAGAAAACCCAACATCTACAAGATTCTCGTTGGCAGTCTACAAAAGAGCAAACACTGTACATCAGTTGTTCACTGAAATTGGGATTTAGGGAACAAAACTGTGGCACTGTGGGTAAATGTATACTGCTTATATCTCTGCTTGGTCTGTTCAAAAGGAGTTTAACGCTTCCAGCTATACTTTCACTGCCTTCATAACAATAGTAGGAAAACATTTCCACCTGTACTCCAATGGGATTATGCCTCTGCCAGCTGCTCTAAACCATAGCAGTTTCTTAGAGTGAGAGAATTTGAATCGCAAGGTCAATAGATACTAACAGGGGAAAATATATCATGATATGCTGCAGCTATGCAGTAGTAAATGGCAGCACTTACCTGGCCATTATAAGTGACATAGAGGTAATTAGTTACAGCAGGGTATTCTCCTGCCAGTGTGTCAATCTGCAGAGGATGAAGAGAAATGGTCATCATGAACTCAAAACTATTTATCAAGATTTCATGCTTCACTGTTTCTTACCTTCCATTCTGTCCTTCTCCAGGCACACGGCCTTCTTTCTCCTCCCTGCCCATGTATTTATATGCAGACTACCACCAACTCAACAGTATTTGACTGATTCATTTTACCCCATACAGTTTCTTGTGTGGTTGTGTACGTACGTACGTATGTACGTACTTATTTATTTATTTATTTAACTTATATGCCGCCCACTCTACCCATAAGGTCTCTTATGCTGCTCCTACTGGATGTATGTCATCACGGCCATGCCAACTTGGGAAGCAGAGGTTTCCAAGAGGTTCTAAAAGCAAAATGTTCTACTACTTCCTACACTTTCCCCAGCTATTTTATCTTGAATGATCACTTGTAACAATCTATACTTTTTGTTTCTCACCGCATTACCAAAATATTCTAACTTTCTGCATTCGTGCATTTATTCTTTCTTCATGTGTGTTCATTTTCTTTAGTACTTCTTCACTGGTCATCTTCTCAATCTAAGAAACCTTATCATCTTGTGATAAATTCACATGCCAAATATTAGTACATTTTTTACAGTTGCCTGTGTTAAACTCTACAATTCCATGTTACAGAGCAGAACCTAGTATACATAGCACCATAGTCTCAAAGCCAGTTTTAAGTTTATGTTGTATATTACATTTTTCATCTTAAGAAAGCAACTCTGGACCATCTCTGTTCTGAGTCTGGCTATACACTAACAACAGCACTTTCATTCTTTGAGGGCAGAAACAGATGTTATCGATGGCTCATAACTAGAAGGGAAAAATTCCTCAAGGCTACTATATGTGCAGACCACATGCTGCCCTCATCTCCCAGAGTTTGCACATTGGCTTGATTTTTTTTGTGACTTGTTCCTTTAAAATCTGATTTCTCAAACCCAAAAGACAGCCTCAAACCAACACGACAATAATAACATGCATCCAGGTCTAATTATGGGCTATACATAACAGCCTGTTTCTACACTGAGTGCCAATCATTATATAATCCGAATGGTGTCATCTTGGCTCAAGCTGGAGGTATTCTAAGGCCTGGGAAAATAAAGAGGGGGAAAAAGTCTTCAAGAGCAGGGAGGGAGCTTAAACCACTCAATTAGGATGGAGTTCTTTTTTCCACACATAGGATGCTTGCTAATCGTTGGTATGGTGAATGGAAATACATGGAGTTTGGAGGCCCATATAGGAGTGTTCTGAAAGAGTAGGGTCCTGGATGGGACATTCCATACTATACCAGTTTCTTGCAAATCCATTCTCAAGGCATGATCCTGTACTGCTTTTCAGCACAAAATAGTGCACCCCTGGCCATATGTCATCAGCTCTCTTGTTATTAGTCATTTAATCCACTTAGACTAGTGGCATTTAAACAGAGGAGGGGAGGGTGTGTTTGAACAAAAGGCTATGCAGTAAAGAAACAGCTGTTCCAACTGAGGTGACTTTCAAAAGCTATTGGTGGTGATACATGGTGTGTGTGTGTGTGTGTGTGTGTGTGTGTGTTTCTGGTGACCAAATCTAAACAGTCAAAAATCCAACTATACAAGCCCTAATTATTAGCCATAATGCAATTAAGCAGTGTCTGAAGGAAGCATTAACTAGCTTCTGGATGAAATGCATATTGTGCATAGTTAATCAGCCCCACTAGTTTCAATTCCATTTATTCTCAAGAAAACACACATTGCAGCTTTAAGGCAAACTGGTACTGAATTTTTATCCATGACCACCTCCTCCAACTCTTGGAATATGCCTTTGTTTCACCATTTGCATGCAACAACCTGGTCAAATCTGTTTTGAAAGCAAACAGCATAACTACCAAGTCTTTGCACAGATACACACTCCAAGATGGCTGGAGGAAGCAGAGAGGCTCATCAATTCCATGGTAGAGTCTTTTTCTATTGCAACAATACTGATCTTTTAAGGCAGAGGTCCCCAACCCCCAGTCCATAGCCTGGTGCTGGTCCATAGCCTGAGCCGGACCGGGCCATGGAGACAGACCTCCCACCATGCCCCCCGCATGCACTCACCCCTGCACAGCTGATTCACACATGTGTGCGCACTCTAGCACACCCGTGTGAGCACTGCACCACCATTTGTGCATGTGCACGAGCACAAGTGCGCCCAGACAAGCACCACACTGCCGTTTGTGCAGGCACATGAGAGAGCGCTCATTTGTGTGAGAGAGCATGTGGGCCTGTTCATGCATGCACATGAGCGCAGTGGGTGCCCCGCCTTCCCCAGACGGTCTGCGGGATGAAAAAGATTGGGGACCCCTGTTTTAAGGGATGGACTGTCACTGGCTTTCAGCTGATGAACAAGTACTACTCTTCCAATTCCACTAACCCAAAGAGGCACAAAATGCCCAAACTAAATCAGAACATATGGGAAATACAGGGAGGGAGGGAGGGAGGGAGGGAAGGAAGGAAGGAAGGAAGGAAGGAAAATAATATTTTATATGAGAGGCTTTCAGGGTACAAGAGCAGTTAGTGGACTCTTAAGAAGACAACTGAGACCAAAAACATCTTGCAGAACCTTCCTGTCACCTAACAGCAAAAATGACTACAGAACACCTACGAAAGCAATTGTGGCATCGCCATGAATACAAAATGAACATATTATGTTCTGTGCTATCACAATGAATACCAAATGAACTTGCAATGATGGGATACTTAAAGTAAAGTATTATCCTATAAAAATTTATTGCTGAGAGACAGGCAAAAAAGGAGCTACACGTTTCACGGTCACACAGTGTGGTGGGTCAACACCAGCATTTTCAAGAGTTTATACTTTTCCCTAATTGAAAATGAAGCAGAAATAGTGCAATTACAGGCAGGCTAGAGAAGCAGGCTTTACTGGTATACATGAATGAGAAAGATACCAATAATTCTGAAACTTCTGCTACATTTTTGGGAAGCCTTTCTCATACGAGACTGGGAAGTCTCAATTCCTGGAATGTGCGCCACCACCACTTCCTGTGTAACACCAAGCGTGGCACATGGGAGCTATTTTTTAAAAAGGTATCAGGCACGTATTTCCTGGTGCTCCACGTTCAAACGTAACTTAGAGTTTCAAATCTTCACTGAGATATCTCCAGAGTTAAACACTTTACAAAATACATTATAGTAATACAAATAATATCCCAGAAGAATTTAAAGTCCATGTAAAGAACACATTTGCATTACTAAACTCAACTGTCCATGAACCACAAGAACCATGAATGGACACCAGAGATGTTATCAGGGAAAAATGCAAAAAGACCATTCATGAAGCCAGAAGAAAAGAAAGATCTCAATAGATTGCCCATGAAACCTTCAACATTCTTAATGACAGAAGAGAGGCGAAGGTAAAAGTGACAGATATAGGATCAGGATCCTAAATGTAACTTTGCAGCAACTCGCAATCAAGAACAAAGAGAATCATAATAACAATCATTGCAAAGAAATAGAAGAGGACAAAAAAGAAAGAGAGATCTCTTTGAATCTTTCAAGATTAAGAATGCTGATTAAGATCAAGAGGTTGAATATACTATCTGATCAGGATAAAATAGAGAAGATGGACCCCAACACCCTTCACACAGGAATATTTTGATGAAGAACCTATAGCTTCAGAACAGGAAGCAAAATCTGCTCTCCAGGCACCAGGTAACAAATAAATTACAGGGAATAGACGGGACACCAATAGAGCTAATTCAAGCTACAAAGGTTAAATCTATCAAAACCATGAGAAAAAATAATATTTCAACAAATGCGGAAAACACAACAACAGCCCACAGACAGGAAGCATTCAATGTACATTCCGATCCCAAAGAAAGAACAAATCAAGGACTATAGTAACCAAAGGACCATATAAGCATAATGCTTAGGATTCTGCAGCAAACACCATCTATGAAGCAAGAAATGCCAGATGTTCAAGCTGAATTAAGTACAGTAGAAGCTCTGGGGATAGTTTTCCAAATATATGATGGCTACTATAGTGTACCATAGAATTTCAGAAGAAAATCAATTTATACTTTATAGATTACAGTAAAGCCTTGGGCTATGTGGATCCTGGAAAACTGTGGAGCACTTTAAAAGAAATGGATGTGCTATAACTTTTGACCGACCTGATACTTAAACTGTACTCTGGACAGGAGGCTACAGAATATGGAGGGAAAGGTGTCAAGCAAGAGTGTATTTTATCTCCCCATCTGTGCAATCCATATGTAGAACATATAATATGAAAATCTGGATTCCAATCAAAAGAAGTAGTGGAAATTGGTGAAAGAAATATCTATAATTTTTAAGATATGCAATGATATTATATTACTGGCATATACTGGCAAAAAATAGCGATTATTTATACAATTAATGAGGAAAGTAAACAAAGAAAGTGAAAAACCTATACTGAAAAGTTAAAATGACAAAATAACAACTACCAAAACTGTCATATTGACAATGAAGAAATCAGAACTGTAGAAGATTTTCTACTCCTAATAAAACTGAAGAGTGCAGTCAAGAAATCAGGAGACTGAGGGCACAGTTAAACTATGAAAACGTATCAGGAGAAGGACTGAGGATTTTGAAGCTGGTTTAAAGTCACATGGTAGTCACGTAATTTTTAGGTCAGTATTTATGTCCTCTTGGGAAAACTTTTAACTACATGGGCTTTTAAATTCACTGCATTTGGGGCTTTGTCCTGCACTTGCCAGCCCTTGAACTGGCTGCCCCTCACAACCACTCACCACAGCTTCTGTAAGTGTTATTTTTTTAATATTGTTTACTTTCCAACTGGGATAGTATTAGTTTATTAGAGATAGGGGAAAAATGAATAAAACAGATTGGACCTTAAGGTTTCCCTGTAGCCTAACGTGTTCATGGGAACACATATGGATGGGCGCATGGGTGGAAAAGAAGAGGAAGCCATGGAAGTCCCACCAGTGAGTGACAAAGATAAATTGATCA